CGGCTGGGGCCTGGCTCGGGCTTTGAGGGCTGAGCTGACATGGATGGGGGGCTGGGGGAGTCCGGGAGACGTGGGGCTGAGGCAGGAGGGGCAGGTGAGGGGGATGGTGACAGAGGTGCCAGGTGGGCCGTGGCTGGTTTTGGCAAGTACTGCTTGGGGGTGGGTCAAGGCGAAGGGCTCAAGTGGGAGGGCGTGGAGGGACAGTGTGTGCACTGGTCAGCTCAGGGCATGTCTGTCCAGGAGTCGTGGGTCCCAGGCCAAGATGGGGAGCAGACAAGGGAAAGCAGAGAAGGAGGGAGCCAGGCATGAGGGGGCTTGGGGAACACGAGGGTGAGAAAAGTCAGAGTGGGCGTCGGCCCCAGTGGGGGCCCAGGAGGAGCGGGGCCCAGGAGGGGGTGCCATGCTGTCCGGGGCAGGCAGCCATCTGCTGCCTGAGGCAGTGGCTGGTGTGAGGGCAGGGGCCGTGGTGAGGTCCTCAGGAGGCTCTGCGGGCGACGGGGGTCGGGGGGTGAGGGGGTTGAGGGGGGGGGGCCGTCTACGGGGGAGATGCTGAGGTGGGAATCATGGCAGACCTTTCGTGGGAGCAGATGGGGTCAGTTTCAGGAACTTCAGAATAACTGTGTGTGTGTATGTGTGTGTGTGAGAGAGAGAGTGTGTGTGTGTGTGTGTGTGAGTGTGTGTGTGAGAGTGTGTGAGTGTGTGTGTGAGTGTGTGTGTGAGAGTGTGTGAGTGTGTGAGAGTGTGAATGTGAGGGTGAATGTGAGTGTGTGTGTGTGAGTGTGAGTGTGAGTGTGTGAGTGTGAATGTGAGTGTGTGTGTGTGTGTGTATGAGTGTGTGAGAGAGAGTGTGTGAGTGTGTGGATGTGAGTGTGTGTGTGTATGAGTGTGTGAGAGTGTGTGAGTGTGTGTGGGTGAGTGTGAGTGTGTGTGTGAGTGTGTGTGTGTGTATGAGTGTGTGAGTGTGTTTGAGTGTGTGTGGGTGAGTGTGAGTGTGTGTGTGAGTGTGTGTGTGTGTATGAGTGTGTGAGAGTGTGTGAGTGTGTGGGTGAGTGTGAGTGTGTGTGTGAGTGTGTGTGTGTGTATGAGTGTGTGAGAGTGTGTGAGTGTGTGTGAGTGTGTTTGAGTGTGTGTGGGTGAGTGTGAGTGTGTGTGAGTGTGAATGTGAGTGTGTGAATGTGAGTGTGAATGTGAGTGTGTGTGTGTGGGTGAGTGTGTATTTAAGGGGGTAGGTTATGGAGGAGGCTGGGACCCCGTCATCGGAGTCAGAGGAAAGACTCAATGCATCCACATTATCACTGTCAAAATGGCCCCGACCTGCAGTGCGGACTCGGGTGGCCGGGCACATGTGAGTGTGCACATTGCACTCCATTCGCGTTGCACATCTATGTATATAAAAAGCCAGTGCCTGTGACAACCAGGACGACCAAACGACCGGTCACCATGAGGTGCATTGAGCACCTCTCGGTCCCTCCCCTGCGGCCCACAGGCTCCGATCGCAGCAAGGCGAGTGGCGGGTGAGTGGGTGGGCGGGGCTGCGAGCAGGGTGGGGCAGCGGACGGGTGGGTGCGGCAGCGGACGGGTGGGCGGGGCTGCAGCAGCGGCGGGCTACTGTGTGCGATTTCGCGCGCTGGGCCTCTAATTCATGAATGAAAGTGTCGTCTCTTCCAACCTAAACTGCAGGTTTCCTGTCTGTGTCGGAAAGTTAGAGTGCGCTGCTCTGCACCTTTGTGAGGCCCCTCCTCGCCCCCACCCCTGGATGGAGCTGGATCTGACCTCAGGCTCTCAGCCTCTGGGGCTGAGATAGGTTTCTACGGTTCAAGCCTTGCAGGCGATGGCATTTCCTTTAATTTTTATTGATTTCAGAGAGGGGGAGAGAGAGATAGAAACATCAATGATGAGAGAATCATGGATCGCCTGCCTGCTGCATGCCCCCTACTGGGCATTGAGCCTGCAACCAGGGCATGTGACCTGACTGGGAATCGAACCCATGACCTCTTGGTTCCTGGGTCGATGCTCAACCGCTGAACTGCACAGGCCGGGCAAGATGGGACGCCCTTTGACCTTGCCGCGGTTGACCCCGGTGGAGGAGGCGCCTGGGCTGAACAGCAGGCGGGCGAGGCCCGGAGGACGCGCAGCAGGCCCGGCATCTGGTGTCAGCTATTCATTCTATTGAAATCCACCAGCTGGGTGGGCGTGGGGCTTGGTGCGCGAGCGGCTCTTTGGAAGTTTTGTTGATTCCCTGAGAGAATAAAGAGATGAGAGATGGGGTTGGGCGGGAGACGAGGATCTGATGTAGACGGCCTTTCACAAGATTGCGGGCCCTGCCCTCCCGGGAGGCCCACCCATGGGACCTTTCATCGCACGCAAGCACATTGTGTGGCTGCGGGCCAGAGCGTTCTATGGACAGCAGCGTGTACACTGCGCTGTGTTTGTGGGTCAGGCAGCCAGCACCAGGGCTCCGTAAAGCCAGCGATTCGGGGTTAGGACCCGGCCCTCAGACCTGGAGCGCCCCTGCTGCCCCCGGGCCGTCCACGTGTGAACTCAGGTGGTTCCACATGTCAGCTTCTCTGTCCCTAACCTCTGTCTCTCTCTGGAACCACCTGTAGCTTTGCCTGTACCCATGTCACACCTGGGGCACCCCTCAACCACAGCTCCTGCTGGAGTCTGGTTATGGTAATATAATCCCAATAGAAGGGCTATGACTCATACCCCGACCCCCCAGTGGAAGAAGGTGCTGGGGGGCAGGGACCATGTGCCGCTTCCTATCTTTGAGGCCTCGGCACCGGCACCGGGTCTGACCCGAGATCAGGCCCCGGGAAGCGTTTGTTGAGTCGAATTGAACTTCAGAGGAGTGAACCGTAAGCCAGGATCTCACGGGGAAAATGGCAGATTCGGGCCACTGCGTGCGGATGGAAGGAAGGCGCTGTTGCCCGTTTTCGCTGGGAACTGCCTCCGTCTCTCATTTTCCAAACCAGTGACCGCTGCTGACATTCTTTCCTCCGTGTCAGAAGGCTTGAGCGTTTCAAGACGAATTCTTGGCATGCTGGGCGAGCCACGGTGGAGACGAGAGGTGGAAGGTGTTTATTGCACGCGCTTTCTAATGAGGCCGCTGCGAAAGCCTGGCCGTGGAATATGTGTTTTCCCTTAAAGAAGCGCAAACACATTGCTTTCAGGGGTGTCCCGTAAAGGTATTGAGCTGGGCTGCGCGGAGGGGCCAGGCTTTTCTGACCACCAAGTAAAGCAGGTCTTTTATTTTTATTTATTTATTTATTAGAGGCCCGGCGCATGAAATTCATGCATGGGTAGGGTCCCTAGGCCTGGCTGGTGATTAGGACCGATCTGTGGGGCGACAGGTGAGGTGATCGGGCGGGGGGGGGGGTGGCCCCCACTGGCACCTGCCTTGGCTGGCCTGGGGCCAGTGGGCAGCTCCTGCACTGAGCGTCTGCCCCCTGGTGGTCAGTGTGTGTCATAGTGACTCGTTGTTCTGCTGTTTGGTCGATTTGCATATTAGGCTTTTATTATATAGGATAATTGATTTCAGAGAGGAAGGAAGTGGGAGAGAGAGATAGAAACATCAATGATGAGAGAGAATCGTGGATTGGTTGCCTCCTGCCTGTCTCCCTCTCCCCCTCACCCCCCACCCACCAGGGACTGAGCTCGCAATCTGGGTAGGCGCCCTGACCGGGAATCGAGCTGTGACCTCCTGGTTCATAGGTTGAGGCTCAACCACTGGGCCACGCCGGCCGGGCTGTCCAAACCCTTTGTGACCACATCACCTTCCTTCCACCTCCTGCACGGACACCTCCGTGGCTTGCTTGCACCGAGCTCGTCTTTGCAGCTAGCAATTGCAGTGATTGGCACGAGCAGCAGTTTAACCCTAATGGAAAGAGAAAGCCATTGGCAACATGATGCTGCTGATCTCCCTGCTGGAGGAGTTCAGCCGGGTCGCCAAGTTTCACTCATTCTGCCCATCCTCGTGGCAGGTGGTAGAGAACAGATGTTTAATCAGAGCAGGCGGTCCAAGAACAGCAAAGCAGCCCGGCCAGTGTGGCTCAGTGGTTGAGCGTCGACGTAGGAACCAGGAGGTCAGGGTTTGATTCCCGGTCAGGGCACATGCCCGGGTTGCAGGCTCGATCCCCAGGGTGGGGTGTGCAGGAGGCAGCCGGTCAATATTCTCTCTCATCACTGATGTTTCCATCTCTCTCCCCCTTCCTCTCCGAAATCAATGAAAATATATAAAAACAACAGCACAAGAAAAACCAGCAAAGCATGTGGACTTGGAGTGAGAAGACCTTAGTTCAAATCATCCACCTTTGGAAGCTCACTCACCTGTAAGCCTTAGTTTGGTCATAAAAATGCGGCTAAACCTGCTGGGGTGGCTGGTCAGGATCCACAGGATCTGCAGACGAAAGCGCGGTGTGAAGGGGCGGTCGCTGTGATTGTTGGCAGCACGCCTCTGGCTCTGGGATCTTCTGAGGTTCCCAGCCCTGCGCCTTAACAACGGACAGAAACTGCTGAGCCACCGGGCGTGGCAGCTGGGCTCCCCACCTGTGACCCTGTGACCGGGAGGCTGAGGCGCTGGGCTAGAGACCAGAGATGAAGTGCCAGGGAGGGCGGGGTGGGGGTGGGGGGACGCCACGAGCATTGGGGAGGGTGGATTGCGGGGACTGTGGGAAGAGAGGCAAAGCTCTGAATGCAAGACACTGAGGTCAGAGCAGATCCAGGGCTGGGCCGTGGGGGGAACGTCCTAGCGCCTGTTTTGGGAAGGGGGAGGGGGAAAGGCCATTTTAGAGAGAATTCTATGTGAAAGTTTCAGTGTCTATCACTCCAAAGTTCTTCCTGCAGCTATTCAGGAAATTCTACTCTAAAGTGACTCACTCGTTCCCCGAGGGGCCAGCCGCGCCAGGGCCCGCCAGCCGACAGACCAAAGGAGAAGCCCGTTGGTCATGGGCTGGACCGTGGAGGACGTGTTTTTGAATTCTCAGTTGGGCAAACGCAAAATACCTTTTAGGAATCGGTCCGCAGTCCTCAGACGTTGTCCTCCCTCCCGATGAAGTGTGACAGGCTCCTGATCTCACTGTTGGTAAAGGGCGGCGTGGAATCCAGTTCCACCAGGACACAGACCTCGGGGTCCCTGCATCCAAGCTCAGGGCGGGGGCCCCCTGCTCTTTGCTCACGACCCAGAGAAACATTGATGTGAGAGAAACACATTGGTGCCTCCTGCACGAGCCACGACCAGGGCCCGGGCTGGGGAGGAGCCTGCAACCGAGGTTCGTGCCCTTGACTGGAATCGAACCCGGGACCCTTCGGTCCACAGGCCGACACTCTATCCACTGAGCCAACCGGCCAGGGTGCAAAAACTAAATTATTTTCAATTATTCTATACAACTCAATTATGTTTAAAGTGAAAAGTGCAGGTCATGTCCCTGCTCCTGAGAACCCCCACGTGGCCTGGTGGGCAGGCTCCCCAGGCCGAGTGTCTGGGACTCAGGTCTCCAGTTCCAGCTGCGGGGCCCTGGTCCCCCCTTTCTGCGGACACTGTCCCCAGGTCAGGGCACAGACACATTGTCTGCAGAGTTGCTGGCAGTGCCGCTTCCGTAGCCCCTGTGACGGCCTCAGTGACCTGCAGGAGGTCCTGTCTGTAGCCCAGGAAATATATTTGACCTCCGTGGGCCTCAGTTTCCCCCTCTGTAAGATGCAGGGTTTGGACGCCCTGGTCCCTCAGGCACTCGTTTGCCCTGACCCGTCCGTGAGCCTCGCCGCCTCCTCCCTGCAGTGACTATTTCTGGTTTCGTTTTCTGCTCTTGTCAGTTTTGCCCAGCAGAGGGGCTTGCCCAGAGGGGCGAGGTCAGGACAGCCGGGGTCACCTTGGGGCTGGCTAGCCCTGTGACCCGGCCAGTCGCCTGGCCCTTCGGGGCCTTAATTTTCTCAGCTGAGAAGTGAGGGACCAGGCCTGTTTGATCTCCAGGACACTTCCTGGTTTGATACCCTGTGATTCTCACTATCTCCTTCCTCCCCAGAGTGACCCCCCTGACCCGGAGGGAGCAAGTCAGCTCAGGGCGGGCACAGGGTGGGTGGCGAGAGTAGGTTTTGGGGGGCGGCCTGGGGAAGCTGGACTCGCTTCCAGAGCCCTGAGTCAGTTCCTTGTGGCTGCCTTCGTGTTGTGCTTGCAGCGTTGTGAAATCCCAGAAGCACGCCCACGCCCACTTCAAGCCAAGTGCCTTCGTGGTGCATGCCAGCTCCATCCGACACCACAGGAGCCCCTCGGGGAACATCGCTCTGGCCCGTGAGCCGGGAGCCCTGCTCCCTGTTCCATGTGGGTTGGAAGGGGCTGGGACAGCCGACCGCCCCGGCTTGTCCTGGGCTCTCCCTGTCTTAGCGCCAGAAGCCCCAAGTCCCAGGCAACCCCCCAGGCCCCACCAGATGGCTGGCTCCCCTACCGATGTTTCTCGCCAGGGCCTGGCCAACTTCCCTAGCGGGACGGTCATGGTTAAAAGAAGGAGCCAGCAGGTCAGGGAACCTCATTCACCTGGGTGCCTGACATGCCCGTCGCCGGCCCCTCCCTGGAGAGTCTGGCTGAGTAGAACTCGAGTGGGGACTGGGAATTTGCAGTGAATGAAGGCCCCCAGGTGAGTGTGGGCAGGTGGCTCCGGGCCACACCTGGAGAGACACACTGTGCGCTGTGCGTGGGGCAGCGGGGGGGGGGGAAGGGGGGAGCAGCCCTGGCGGGGGGCGCGGGCACGCAGAGGGTGCAGTGAGGGCTGAGCCTGGGGGACATCGTCCCGGCCACTGCTGTCCTCACTCACCCCCTCGGGCTCCGGAGCTTGGCTCTGTGAGCACAGGGTGCACTTGGCCTTCGTCGGGCCTGCAGGGCGGAGGGGCCGTTCCCTGCTGCCTACATCAGGCTCTTGTCTCAGAACCCCCTGCTCTTCCTGCTGCACCGAGTGGCCTCTGGCGTGGGGACCAAGAGGGACTGGGGGAAGTCTCTGAGGCCCTGCAGCGCTGACCTTTGGCCTGGGGGTTGGGGGGGCTGGGGAGGCAGCCCTGCACTTGTCCTTGAGGCAGCTGTCACTTCTGTCGCTGGCGAGCTAAGCCTTTTCCCAAGGTGACTCGCGGAACAAGGGTCCTTGAGAGCACTTGGCTCTGGGGTGAGTCACAGAGGAATGGGGCCTGGGAGGGGCTTGCTGGTTCATGGGACACAGCTGTGGAGCACAGGGTGGCAGGGGCCCTGGCGGGGGTGGGGGGAGGCAGGGACAGCTCCGCAACCTTCAGATGAGCAGGGCCGCTGGGGCGACATGGCCCACTGGCCTGAGGGCTCCACCTGTGGGAAGGGAGGCTGGAGTCAGTGAGCAGGAGAGGCGGGCACAGCAGTTTGGCTGCAGGTGACAGCACACCTGAGCGGTGGCGACACTGACAAGCGGGTCATCTTTCTCACGGTCGGGACGTTCCAAGCTCTGGTCAGTGTCTCGGGGTCCTCTTGGCCTTCCTTCAGCCTCAGGCCTCCCCGCTCCCCCCCTCACACGGCTGGTCAGTGGCAGGAAGCAGCGGCGTGGCCATTGCCTGCTGCTCCCCAGAGGGGGCAGGTCACTTGCCTGATGGCATAGAGCCGCGGGCCCGCATCCCCAGGCAGCAGGCGGAGGGTGCCCTGAGCCCAGCAGAGAAGACTGGGTTCCCACCCAGGCCCAGGCCCACGCCCACCCCCACCGCTTACATTCGAGCTGGGCTCCTGGGCATCCACGCACGTGACCTCACCTGCAGGGGGTCGGGCTGGGGCAGCTCAGCTCCACCCGCCTCTGCCCCCAGCTGGCCGCTGTGCTGCTCTCAGGGGGACTCATGGGGATGCCCCCCCCCCCGCCCTGGGCAGCGTGACCCTGCTCATGGACCCCTGCAGAGGACTGTGTGCTCCTCACCACCGCCTGGTCCCCCCTGCTGGCATTGTTCTCCCTGGTTTGGGGAAGGGTGGCCGGGGCCCAGCCGGAGGACGGGAGCCAGCCTGCTGTTCTGTTTGCTCAGATGGCAGCTATGGCGGCCGCGGGAAGCTCTGAGGCCATCCAGGAGCTGCGAGTCCCCTTTACAGCTGGTGTCTGTCTGCGCAGGAGGCGGAGAACGCCACATCACGTTAAGATGAATCATAGCTCCAACAGGGAGAAAAAGTGCCTTTTTAAGGAAAAGTGCCTTTTTAAGAAAAAGTTCTGAGCCTGACAGTCCTGACCCGACGCTGGTGAGACTGGCACGCACTCCCTGCGTGTCTCCCCCTCCAAGCTCCTTAATGTCCACCCCCATCTCCTGCCGTCTCTGGGGCGCACGTCCTGGAGTGGACACGTCTCCCCCTGGGCCACCCTCTCTCTCTGGCCGGCGAGGCACGGGCACGCTTGGGTTGGGGGGGCTTTGACTTAAGTGGGGCTTCGTGCTGGTCTCCTGAACACGTTGGGGCGGTTGATGTGTAAGAGGCGAGGAGAAGGGCCCTTTGTTGCTACCAAAGATGCCCAATCCTGTCGGCGGGTGGCCCGGCCTGGGGGCTGGGGGCTCCGTGAGTGAGTCTGTAAGAACATGCCCAGGTCCTCAGGCGACAAGTACGGTGCCTGCCGCGGGTCCGGCGGCTGGGCCCTCGGTGAACCCGGGAGTGGCTGCAGAAAGGACCCGGCCCAGGGCATCAATGGAGGCGAGGAGGCCGGGCCAGCCCTTCCCCGCGGCGGGCGGCCTGGACGCGGCTGCAGCTGCTGGGTGGGGCGCCGTCCGCTGGGCCTCCTGCCGCCGCAGTGGGAGAAAGCAGCATCTGATATTCATCGTGTGGTTGTTTCCAATTTCCTTCTGCTTTCGAGATCCTCTTCTCGGAGAGAACAATGCCCCGAACAAGGCCCGCTTCCTGGCGGGCGCCCGCCCAGCTGCTCGAGGCGGTGCCCGGGAGGACACGATCCCGGGCACATGGCTTTGATCCGTGTCCTCTGAGAATCGGGGGACAGTGGGACTCAGGGCCCTTCGAGTCCCAGCCTGTTGTGTGCGGTTCTATCCCGGGGCCTGGAGCAACCCCCCCCCCCCCCCCCCCCCGTCTCCTTTATGAGTATTATTATTGTTGTTGTTGAGTGTTATTTTTGAACGGCCCCTCTTAGCCAGGGCAGGACCGTCCTTGGTGTACCACCAGGATCCTTCTGAGGCTGGGCGGGCGCAGGGGGGGATCTGGGGCCAGGAGGCCACTCCCTGCTGCGGCGCCCCCCGCAGGAGGGGACAGTGTTGGGTTGGTGAGCCCGTGGCCAGGCCGAGCCCAGCTCCTGGGGCGCCCGGGAGGGGCTGCAGCGGAGGACGCCAGCTGGGGCGGCGCCCAGGACAAGGGCCAGGGGACGGGCGGGGTTTCCTCGTTCCATTCCCTCTTCGCATGTGGCCGGTACTTGTGGATTCCAGGGGGTCCACCGGTCTCGTGTCTCGTTCGTCGCCAGAGAGCAGAGCGAACCCCAAGGCAAGCGAGTCCCGCGTGGAAAGCGGCAGGCGGAGGCCGGAGGGCTTCGGGGCTGTGGGCTTCCGGTCTACCGGGCTTCCGTGAGAAAGATGCGGGTTTTAGTGAGAAAACTGGCAGGTGGGAGTGAGAGGAGCCAGGGGGCGGCCCAGCCCCGAACGGGGCGAACAGATAGATGAGACCAGATGAGGCCAGGCTTGTCACTCAAGTGCCGCCATCACGCTCTCTGCCACGCCCTTATACCACTTGTCTCATAGATCTCTTTACATGGATTTACTTTTAAGGCCTTACATTTAATTAAAAAGACATCTTTATGTCACTACATGAATGAAACCTGGCATTTTTCTGACAAGCATTGAAGCAAGTTCCTTACCATTAACATAGAGACAGTCATCAGGTCCCACTAAAATCTTTTTCTTAAAAATAGATTTTATTGATTTCAGAGAGGAAGGGAGCGGGGGAGAGAGAGATACATCAATGATGAGAATCACTGATCAGCTGCCTCCTGCACGCCCCCCACTGGGGATCGAGCCCACAACCCGGGCCTGTGCCCTTGACCAGGAATCGTGACCTCCTGGTTCATAGGTTGATGCTCAACCCTGGAGCCAGCTGGGCTGTCCCACTGAAATCTCGACCACCACCCGGGGCTTTTACACACAGGGGGGTCTGCACGCGTGTCTGATGGTGACGCTGGGGGAGCCGATGTTGGCGAGAAGTGAGGGGTGGGGGGTTTGTCCAACTGTGACCCCTCCCAGAGGCTCCGGGGGGAGCACCCTGCTGATGGCCAAGGGCTGCCGCATTGCGTCAGCACGTCCGACAGGAAGTGATGGCGCCTCCTTCAGGGGGTGCTGGTGGTGGTGGGGGCTTGGGCATCTGTTTGTGGGGTGTTTAGAACACGTCTCATGCGTGATAAGCGCTCAACAGGCGTTAACACCCCCCATATCTGGGGGCCTCTGACTGCGGGCTCCCGGCCTCCTGGGGGGGTGGTGTCCCGTGGCCTGCCGGCTCGGGGGACAGGCCGGGACAGACAGGCCCTGGCTCCCTCCCGCCCCCGGTCCCTGCTGCTCTCCCTCCTCCGCTGAGCCGGGTGTGGCCAGGGGCATGGCCGGCCGTTCCCGCGTGATTATAGGATGGACCTCAGATGTGGTCACCGCATTAGTCATCCTGGAACATCCCGTCGGCGGTGGTGGCTGCTCTGCGCCTGGCGGCCCCGGGGGGCTCCCAGGGAGGGCCACGCGTGCGCAAGTGCTGGGGCTGGCCGGTGGGGGGCTGCTGCCCCCGACGGGCCATGGTTCTGGGAGGCACGCACGGCTCGGGGAGCCGGGAGTGGGGGACGCCATCCGGGTTACTGGTGGCACTGGACGTTCTGCCTGGGCCCTGGGACTTGACTTCCTGTTTGGCCTGGCACTTGTGGGCGCCCCCCCCCCCCCAACACACACACGGCCCTGACACATCCTCCCCCAGCCTCCCTCCCCCCGAGCTGTTTCCTCATCTGTAAAGTGAAATGAGGGGGTTGCACTAGATTGTATCTTGAGCCCCGTCAACTTGAGAAAGCTATGACTCACCTCCAGCCCCCCTCCCTTTCCCTCCAGCCTCTGACCCACAGGAGAAGGGCAGGCAGGCAGGCGCGGGAGGCTGTGCGTCCCCGTGTGGACCGGCCCTAAGCACACACTGTCCCCCGACAGCACACACTGTCCCCCACAGCACACACTGTCCCCCACAGAACACACCTTCCGCCCCACAGCACACACTGGCTGGCACACGCGCACACACACACTCACACACACTCACTCACACTCTGGCCCACAATGCCCGTGCTGAGCTAAGCGGTCCTGCCTCAGGGGAGGCAGAAGGACTAAAAGATTTAAAAGGCAAATGCATGACAAAGGCCCTACAGGTGAGAGATGGTTTGGCAAATGGTGACTGAAGGAAGAATTCAGGGAGCAAAGAAAATGCAAAGGAAGCAGGTTGTTAAAGGCAGAGGAGGAAAGAAGTGGCCGGGATGGGAGGAAGTGTCTGCAAAGTGATCATAGCTGGGATTGTCACGCGAAGCTGCCCGCCAGCCGAGAGCGCGAACCAGTGTGCGTGCACGCATGTGTCCGCACGTGTATGTATGTGTGTGTGCATGCATGTACGCGCGCGTGTATGTGTGTATGCATGTGCGTGCGCGCCCGTGTGTATGTGCGCGCTCGTGTATGTGTGTACGTGTATGTGTGTGCGTGCGTGCGTGTGTGTATGTGTGTGCGTGTGTGTGCGTGGCGCTATCCCCCCTCTCCTTCTGGGTGCACTTTGGAGGATGTCACCCCTCTTCGGGGCTCCTCTATGGGCTCAGCAGTGCCGCCGGGCAGCAATGGGCCTGTGGGGCCACAGGGGCCTCGGATAACGGGCCGCTGGCCCGAGACGCAGGCGTCGCCATCACAGGAGCGCTGTCCTGAGTCCGTCGGGTGGTTTTCCTACGAGACGATGCTCCTCGTTGAAATGGCAGTGAGTCGGGATGCCCAAGTCCAGAGGAAGGTGCCAGAAAAGCCAGCGTCTGAGAAGGTGTCCTGGTGGGCGCTGTGACAGACGGCACAGGGAGCATCGTCCACAACGTTGCGGTCTCAGTGGGTGGTGCGGGGGGACGGGACCTGGAAACACCGGGACACTCGGTAAAGCCTATGACTGCCTAACCACTGCCCCGCACCCGCAACTAACACAGAACGACACGGAACGCCAGTCATAACTGGAAAATGCAATTAAAGAAGAAATGGACACAGACAGAATGTCTCAGGACCCTGGGGGTGGGCACGCCTTCTAAAACAAGACGAAAAAGCACCCCCCCAAAAAAACCAATACTTTGGGCTTCAGCAAAATCAGACGTGTCCCGTCCCCATGCGGAGGCAGGCTCAACCTCGGTGACACTGTCTGCAGTAAATGCATCCGACAGGCCCTGCCGGCAGCTCGCGGCCGAGCGTCCTCCCGATGAGCCAGGGTTCTGAGTTTGATCCCCCATCAGGGCACAGCCAGCAACAACCAGTGAGCACACACATAAGCGGAACAACAAATCGCTCTCTCCATCTCTCTCTCTCTCTCTCTCTCCATCTCTCTCTCTCTCTCTCTCCATCTCTCTCTCTCTCTCTCTCTCTCTCCATCTCTCTCTCTCTCTCTCTCCATCTCTCTCTCTCTCTCTCTCTCCATCTCTCTCTCTCTCTCGCTCTCTCTCTCAAATAAACAAATAAAAAAAGGAACAGGTTTAAAAAATATATATCTGACCAAGCATTCATTTCCAGAATCTACGCGAAAACCCCTAGGCCTCTGGCCCAGTAAACTCTGGGCAAAGACTTCACACTCGCAGACGGGCCTACCCAGGCGGCCACTGGACTCTGAGCAGGCGCCCAGCATCACTCGCCTCAGGAAAATCCAGATGCAAGCGACGGGGCGTACCCTGCAGGCCCACCGGAACCGCGACGCTGAAGCGCAACAGTGGCAACGGGACCCACTGGGACGACGGCACTGCTGGGGTGGGGGGTGGGGGGAGGGCGCAGCTGGGGGAAGGTGCTCGGCAGATTCTGTTAAAGCGAGAGACAGGCTGACCCGGTGACCTAGCGAATCCACTCCAGGCCATGTACACGCTCAAGAGAGCAGCACCCGTGCCCACGCACAGGTGGGTACCGGAATGTTCGAAGGGCTTGGCTCCGAACCTCAGACACCCCACAGTCCCATCAACAGAAGACTGAGAAGCCAACCGTGGCACGTTCGCCCCGCGGAGCACCACCCAGGCCTCAGACGGCAGCCGCCCGATCCCAGTAACGCAGGTTCAGACAGAGGCCCAGGGAGAGTGTGATGGTGGACTCTGCGGGGTACGGGTGAGCGGTGCATGAGGGGACCTGTGTGCGTGGGGGGGGGGGGGGAGGTGCTAGAAATAGTCCCGATCTGGGCTGCGGAGGTGGTGACGTAGGTGCATTCATATGAAAATGATCGTTGCCTGGCCAGTGTGGCTCAGTGGTTGAGCGTCGACCTATGAACCAGGAGGTCAGGGTTCGATTCCTGGTCAGGGCACGTGCTGGGGTTGCAGGCTCGATCCCCAGTGTGGGGCGTGCAGGAGGCAGCCGGTCCATGATTGTCTCTCATCATTGATGTTTCTCTCTCTCTCCCTCCCTCTCCCTTCCTCTCTGAAATCAATACAAAATATTTTAAAAATATAAAAAAAGAAGTGCCCAGCTCAGGGCCTGGGCACGGCAAGTGCTCGGGGAAGGGTGGTGTCGAAATGTCAAAGCTTCCGCATCACTGAGCCCAGCGTGGCCGGCGTCGGAGGGCGGCTGGGCAGCTTTCTCCGCCGCTGGAGCAGTGAGGCTGCTGGTTTCTGCCCGAGCATCATGAGCACCGATGCGGAAGGAAAGAGGGAATCTCAGGGCTGCGGGAAGGGAGGGGCCGGAGGGAGGGCACTTTCACTTGGCCGGTCAGCAAGGAGGTGTTGCTTGCCAGGGCCTCCCAGGGAGGGTTAGGCGCGGTCCCAGGGCCAGGGGGGCCCCTGAGAGCAAAGGGGGAGTCTGGGAGGCGCAGGCCATCTTGGTTGGCGCAAAGGCTTAGGCAGGAACTTGAAAAGGAAGACTGGCTCCCTACCACTTCCCTGTAGGAAACGAGTCTCGAGTCTCAGGGTGTTGCTGGGCAGGGAGGGGCGGGAGGAAGCCCGGGTGTGCCCCCCCCAACCCCCCCCCCCCCCGCCCCGCCGGGAGGTGCCGGCCACTAGGCCCGGAGGCCAGGGAGGAGGGCAACAGGAAACACCAGGCTCGGGGCGGGCGGATGGCTGGGAGGTGGGTGGAGAGGAAGGTGAGGGGAGATGGGCAGGGAGGGGGGGACCCTGAGGTCTGGGCGCCAGTTCCCGAGGGTGTGAAGCAGAGACCTGAGCTTGGAGGGGACCGTGAGGGGACTCTCCTGCTGTCTGAGAGCCACGGGGGGGGGGGGGGGCGCCCCTCATCCCTCCCGGCCCCGACGTGCTTCCCTCTCTGTCTGCATGTTCTCCGAACACGAACACGGCGTCCTCTTCTGGGCTCACCCTTTCGGGGGCACCCAGGGGACATGCACTGGCTTCCTGCAAGCTTCCTTCCCACCCTCTCCCTGTGGAACGGCACCCACGGGGGCGGGGGCGGGGGGGTGCGGGGGGGAGGCGTGGCACGCCCCATGCTGGGCCAAGGCAGGTCCTTCCCACCCCCTCCCCAGGCAGGGCCTCCCCCCCCCCCAGCCCTGTGGGGTGCCCGCAGCCCCCTGTTTAGGGAGGGCGCTCACTGTTTGAATACCAATCTGCTGCTGTTGCTTTGCAGGACCTTAGCCCTCAGCGGGGCCGGGAAGCAGCCGCCCCTCGGAAGGCTGTGCGGTGAAGGGTGACGGCTCCGGCGCTGGTGCTGAAAGTGGGACATGACGCGTTGCCGTGGCCGAGCCAAAGCTACGGGCACCTGCAGCTCCTGGGACACCGGCCGCGGAGCCACCCGAGGGGACTCGCCCGTGTCACGGGGCCTCGGCAGCCCCGGTGATGGTCCCCACTCGCCCCCCCCCCCCCCCCAATAAACGTCTGTGCAGCGTCTGCGCGGCTGGCCTGGCGGTTTCTCTGCGCCGCTCCCTGGCGTCCTGGGCCCAGCGGGTGGGCTGCTGTCCCGGGGGACACCCCGCGGCTTTTCTGTCTCTGAGGTTCAGAGTCGGGGGGGTGGGGGGGGGTGACTCCTGCCTCCAGTGTTGAGGAGCCGGAGACCCTCCGCACGTGGCTCCTTCCCTCCCTCCCTCGTTCTCCCCTCCCTCCTCTCGGTTCCTTCTTTGTTCGTCCACAGAAGTAAAAACGGCAGTACTTTTTGTTATTGATTTTAGAGAGAGGGGGAGGGAGAGAGAGGGAGAAACATCAGTTTGTTGTTCCACTTAGTTTGCATTCCGTGGGTTGATGCTTGCATGTGCCCTGACCAGGGGTCGGACCCACAACCTTGGTGTATCTGGTCGACGCTCCAACCAGCTGAGCGACCCGGCCAGGGCCATAAAAATGCTTTTGTAACGTCCATCAATGCATTTCTTTAGGCATATGATTTTTCTCAAAGTTACCAGTCACTGGGGTACAGTCTGAAATTCTTTTTGTTTTTAAATATATTTTTATTGATTTCAGAGAGGAAGGGAGAGGGAGAGAGAAACATCCATGATCAGAGAGAATCATTGATTGGCTGCCTCCTGCACGCCCCCGCTGGGGATCGAGGCCGCAACCCAGTAGACTATGTGCCCTTGGCTGGAATCGAACTCAGGACCCTTCAGTCCGCAGGCTGATGCTCTACCCACTGAGCAAAACCGGCTGGGGCCAATCTGAAATTCTTGTTCTATGATGTTAAATATCAAAAGACACTTTTCTGGGGATCTGGTTAATATTTAACATTTATCAGCATTGATATAATTGCAAAATAATCACATCTTGAAATTTACCACCTGGGCGAGGAATACATCTCCCGGGGATTTGCGGTTTCGAGGAGTCAGTCCTGTTTCATAAGCTGATCTTATCTTCATCAGAAACGAGAAAGAGGAAGAGAGCGACGGTAAACAGTGAATTTCAAACTTTGGGGAATGTGTTGACTTTGGCCGGAACTTCCTGTCCACGAGGCGGTGCATTCCTCCCTGGGGTGGGCCGGGCGGGCCTGCGCTGGGAGCCAGACCCATCTCCTGGGGCCACTGGGGATCCCGGGGTCCCGCCTGGAAGAGGGGGGAGCAGAGGCGCGCTCGTCCTGTGACGCACTTACCGCCTCCTTAGTGTCACCTTGGTCTCAGCTGTCCCATGAGGCCCTGCTGTCAGGGCCGTGGTGCAGGCTCAGGTTTGAGGGACGTGTTTTCCTTTCGCTTATTTGGATTTTCTAAGCTTTTTCAAATGAGGGGCAAGATGGCGTCACGCCTTCCTGGGAACCCCACTCTCGAGAGGGAGGGATACAAGCAAATCGGAGGCAGGTGGGGGGCGCCTAGGACCAAGTCCTGCAGGAATCCTAGGCTGGCAGTTTAGCCAATGCACATGGAGGTGCCTGGTTAGATGCCCGTGTTCAATGAGTGTGTCCCATGTTCAGTGGAGTGTGTCCCATGTTCAGTGGAGTGTGTCCCATGTTCAGTGGAGTGTTCCATGTTTAGTGGAGTGTGTCCTGTGTTTAATGGAGTGTGTCCCATGTTTAGTGGTGTGTCCCATGTTCAGTGGAGTATGCCCCATGTTTAGTGGAGTATGTCCCATGTTCAGTGGAGTGTGTCCCATGTTTAGTGGAGTGTGTCCCGTGTTCAGTGGAGTGTGTCCCATGTTCAGTGGTGTGTCCCATGTTCAGTGGAGTGTTCCATGTTTAGTGGAGTGTGTCCTGTGTTTAATGGAGTGTGTCCCATGTTTAGTGGAGTGTGTCCCATGTTCAGTGGAGTATGCCCCATGTTTAGTGGAGTATGTCCCATGTTCAGTGGAGTATGCCCCATGTTCAGTGGTTTCATGTTCAGTGGAGTGTTTCATGTTCAGTGGAGTGTGTCCCATGTTCAGTGGAGTGTTTCATGTTCAGTGGAGTGTGTCCCATGTTCAGTGGAGTGTTTCATGTTCAGTGGAGTGTGTCCCATGTTTAGTGGAGTATGCCCCATGTTCAGTGGTTTCATGTTCAGTGGAGTGTGTCCCATGTTTAGTGGAGTGTGTCCCATGTTCAGTGGAGTGTGTTCCATGTTCAGTGGAGTGTGTCCCATGTTCAGTGGAGTGTTTCATGTTCAGTGGAGTGTTTCATGTTCAGTGGAGTGTGTCCCATGTTCAGTGGAGTGTGCCCCATGTTCAGTGGCGTGTGCCCCATGTTCAGTGGAGTGTGTCCCATGTTCAGTGGAGTGTTTCATGTTCAGTGGAGTGTTTCATGTTCAGTGGAGTGTGTCCCAAACGTTGCACAGGTTGCACGGCTGGCGCTTGGGTCTGAGGGTGACCTTGGGAAGGGGAGGCCCTGTGGTCCGGGGAGCAGCAGGGACTTGCTGCTCGTTTCACATATTAGGGTGTGTGGCCCCCGACGCAGGGGCACCGGAGGACGGAGGTGGCATCGGGAGCTTTGTCCTTGTTCTCCCTCCCCCATCAGTCACTCTCCGTGGCCTGGGCTGGCGGGAGGCGGGTGGGAAGCGGGACGTGGGTTATCCCAGAAGCACTGCCCGGCCCTGCGCCTCAGAATCTGCTGGGGGCGGGGGCGGGGGTAGACGGGAGGGTCCTCCCTCCTTGGCTGCAGCAGAAGCGAAGCCCTAGGGGACCAGACCAGCGTGTGGACATGCCTCATGGAGGCTGCGCTCCTTCTCCCTGTGCAGGGCCCCTGCTCCCTGCTGACTCCCACCCTCCCCCCTGCTCATCCCAGGGGTGCGGTACATCCGACGAGGTGTCCACGCCCTGGATCACACCCACATTCTAGCCCTGCCCCTCATGACTCCCCCTCACCCCGTAGAGTGTAGGGTGTGGCTGCATTCTTTTCTTCCAGAGACAATCTCTGGGCTCATCCCGCAGAAGGCTCGCCCCACCCACTGTCGGCGAGTTTCCCAGCCTTGTGCACCGCTGCACCCGATGCAGGTGGAGGGAGCAGCGGGGTGTGAGGCCAGAGCCAGAGGCAGGGCCAGTCTCCCCCGGCTTGGGGGGGCGGGGGCTCGGTGCAGGGCGTAGGAGACTGGGGCTGGGAAGGGTCTTCAGCAAGAGCCTGACATGCTGTTTGATGCCTGGCAACCGTGAGGAGAACGTGGGAGGCCGTGGAGATGCTGTGGACTCGGTTTATGAAACACAGCGAGTCCTAACCCTTTTGCCGGTAGAGGGTCTTGTCTTCAATGTGTCTAAACCATGTGGCCTGTGAAGCACCACAAAGCAAAGGGCAATGAAGAAGGTAGCTGTTCGGAGGAAGGGGCGAGACCACGCGGAGACCAGTTAGGAGGCAGGAAAACGGTCCTGCAGAGACCTGTGGTGCTGGTCCCGGACCCAGGGCTGTGAGGGGCCAGGGCCAAGGCCAGGGCAGGCTGCAGAGAGGACTCAGCACCCGGACCAGCTGGACGGGCCCAATGTAGTTACGAGGTGTGTGTATGTGGAAGAGGAGGCCAGGCTCAGAGAACCCAAGAGGCTGCACATCTGACTATGAAGATGGGGGGCACACCCCGAGGAACGGGGGCAGCCCCTAGAAACGGACTAAGCAAGGACTCACGCTCCCCAGGAGGCTCCAGCCTGCGGAAGCCTTGACGTTTAGCCCAGGGAAACCGTTTTTGGACCTCCAACCTCCAGGTCTATAAGAGAATAAATATGTGGGTTTAAAAAAAATGTATATGTTTACTGATTTCAGAGAGGAAGGGACAGGGAGAGAGAAACATCAATGATGAGAGAGAGTCACTGATCGGCTGCCTCCTGCACGCCCCCAACTGGGGATTGAGCCTCAAGCCAGGCACGTGCCCTTGACCGGAATCGAATCCGGGACCTTTCAGTCCACAGGCTGATGCTCTATCCACTGAGCCAAACCAGCCAGGACATGGGTTTTGTTTCTTTAAGGCACTCATTTTGTGGCAATTTGTTACAGCGACCGTAGGACAGTGATTTAGAGCAGCGGTCGCCAACCTTTCGGACCTCACGGGCCGTTAATGGTCCGCAGGCCAGCGGTTGGCGACCACTGATTTAGAGGCCATTTTTGCAAGAATTCAGGCCGTCGATGGTGAAGACCTGGCATTGGAGATAGCGATAGAGAGAAGGGAAAAGTTCAAGGTAATTTTCAAAAATACTTTCTTATTTTTTAATTTATTGTAAATCCTCACCTGAAGATATTTTCCCATTGATTTTTAGAGAGAGTGGAAGAGAGAGGGAAAGACAGAAACATCGATGTGAGAGAAACACATCTATTGGTTGTCTCCTGCATGCACCCCGACCAGGGTCCAGGCTGGGGAGGAGCCTGCAACCGAGGTATGTGCCCTTGACCGAAATCGAACCCGGGACCCTCAGTCCGCAGGCCGATGCTCTATCCACTGAGCCAAATCGGCCAGGCAAGTTCAAGGTAAACTGAGAAGGGACGGACTCAGAGACCCGCCGGACGCATAAGGTCAGTGGGTCAGACCTTTCTCCTGCCCCGAGGCATGTTTTCCATCTCATCCCCTTGGGGGAGCCCCCAACCCAGGTCTCCACCCTGACCTGGGGACGAGAGGGGTCCTCAAGGGCCTCTACAGTTACGTGCCTCGGGGTGACGCAGGACGGGGCCCTGCAGGCCCAGCGCGGCAGAGACTTTGAGGGCACTGGGCTGTGGGAGAGGAGAGGCATCCATCTCTGAGCTCCAAACCCTTGGTTTATCCATTCGGACGCTGGCGACCGGCATGCGTAACTGAATCTATTTTCAGATTCCCCCCCGCATGTATTATAGTCTCATAATTTTAGTTTGGTCATGGAAATATGTTGGGCGGTTAACTCATGACTCACCCTCACACTGTTCCCATGTGCCCTGTGAGCGCTGGGAGGAACGGTCCCTAATTACACGTTCCAGGGTGCAGCGCTTGCGTGGCCCCGCCGTCCTCCGTCCAGTCTTTCTTTATCACCTCGCCGAAGCCGTTTCGAGCTGCAGCCACCCTCGGTGAACTACCGCCCACAAGTGCCTTGGCATGGGCCCTCAGCACGCCTTGCATCAGCCACGCACCGGACATAATTTTGTCCCCATCATCTTGATAGAGTTGGCGAGGGCTGGTTTTATGTCCTCTCCCTGCCCCGTGAGTCATTGATAGATTATTCTGCCGGGCTAGCCCTGCCCAGCTCAGGTGTTGAGGGTGTAAGATGCAGCTTTCCTACCCGTCAATCAGTACGGGCAGGGCCAGCCCTTGGCTTATGCAATGTGACGCCATGTTTGAGAACTGCCATTCCTCTTTTAAAATATATATATATTTTATTGATTTTTTTACAGAGAGGAAGGGAGAGGGATAGAGAGTCAGAAACATCGATGAGAGAGAAACATCGATCAGCTGCCTCCTGCACACTCCCTACTGGGGATGTGCCCGAAACCAAGGTACATGCCCTTGACCGGAGCCGAACCTGGGACCCTTCAGTCTGCAGGCCGATGCTCTATCCACTGAGCCAAACTGGTTCAGGCCTACCATTCCTCTTTAGCTTTCTTCAAGGGTAAATGTTGCCTTGGCTCCAGGTTGGGAGAGGTGGACTGGTCACAGGTGATTTTTCAAAGGAAATTTTCACCCAGATTCAGAGTGTAGTTGACAGTGTGATCAAGAAATGTGAACTTTTGCCCTCTCCTGTTTGGCTCAGTGGATAGAGCGTCAGCCTGCGGACTGAAGGGTCCCAGGTTCAACTCCTGTCAAGGGCATATGCCCTGATGCCCTGGTTGTGGCTCTCTCATCACTGATGTTTCTATCTCTCTCTCCCTCTCCCTTTCTCTCTGAAATCAATAAACATGCATTTTTTTTCAAATATATATTTTATTGATTTTAGAGAGGAAGGGAGAGGGAGAGAGAGATAGAAACATCAATGATGAGAGAGAATCATTGATTGGCTGCCTCCTGCACGGCCCCCACTGGGGATCAAGCCTGCACCTGGGCATGTGCCCTTGACCGGAATCGAACCTGGGCCCTTCAGTCTGCAGGCCGACGCTCTATCCACTGAGCCACACCAGCCAGGGCCATAAACATGTATTTTTAAAGAAATGTGCACTTTCCTCTGGAGCCCTCAGAGGCACGAGCGCTGGACGAATAGAGCGCTAAAAACACATTTCTTGTTTTTAATCTTTTGTTTTGTTGAGAGAAACATCAATGTGAGAGAGAACAACCCTCCACTTCTCTGCTTTCAGGCAATGACTCCCACATTCTGCCCTTTTATAGTAAAACTAGAGGCCTGGTGCACAAAATTCATGTGTGTGGGGGCCCCTCAGCCCAGCTTGCACCCTCTCCAATCTGGGGCCCCTCAGGGGATGTCTGACTGCCGGTTTAGGCCCGGGGCCTAAAATGGCAGTCAGACATCCCTCTCACAATCCAGGACCGCTGGCTCCTAACTGCTCACCTGCCTGCCTGATCGCCCCTAACTGCCCCCCCTGCCAGCCTGGTCGCCCTTTACTGCCCCCCTGCCAGCCTGGTCGCCCCCAACTACCCTCCTCTGCTGGCCTGGTCACCCTTAACTGTCCCCCCCACCCCCACCAGCCTGGTCACCCCTAACTGCCCCCCCCCACCAGCCTGGTCGCCACCAACTGCCCCCCTCTGCTGGCCTGATTGCCCCTCACTGCCTCCCCTGCAGGCCTGGTCGCCCCACGCAGCCTGATGCTCAGTCGTTTGGTCATCCCTCACTAATCCCCTGCCGGCCTGGTCGCCCCCAACTACCCTCCTCTGCTGGCCTGGTCACCCTTAACTGTCCCCCTCACCCCCACCAGCCTGGTCACCCCTAACTGCCCCCCCCCACCAGCCTGGTCGCCACCAACTGCCCCCCTCTGCTGGCCTGATTGCCCCTGATGCTCAGTCGTTTGGTCATCCCTCACTAATCCCCTGCCGGCCTGGTCGCCCCACGCAGCCTGTTTGGTCGGCTCAGTTCGGTCATCTGTTCGGTTGTTCCGGATGTGACAGCCCCTGGCTCTTTATATAGAGATGGAACTCGCATCACTGCATGTGTAGGCTTCTGAGGGCAGAGGCCTTCCACCATGCAATCCGCTTCCTTTTGTCCCCGATGCCTGAGCTGGCTTTGCCCTGGGTAAACATTCCCCCAGCTGTGAGCAGGCAGTTAACATTCTGACCCTTTGATGGCCTTGGATCCCAACCCTTTGAACAGCGCTGACCTGGGTGGGCGGCTCACCCCAGGCAAAGGGGTGTGGATAATGGTGACCTAGATGCCCAAGAAGCAGGCCGGAGCAGGGAGGGGGTGGGGGGTGGAGAGCTCCAGCCGGGCGAGACGCTCCGTGGGCATGGGCATGGGCATGGGCATGGGCCGTCCCCCTGACCTGCTCTGGAATGCCCTGGGCGCGGCCTTATGGGGGTGCACGCCGGTGTGCAGTGTGCGGGCGGGAGGGCGCTGGCACCCGGGTCACTGCATGCATAGGCGCCGGAGGCCCCGCACTGGGGACCCCACGCCCTGAAGGGCAGGGGCTGGAGGCTGGGTGGGGTGAGGGTTCCCCAGCTGAGAACTTGCAGAAGCGCCTGCAGCGAGTCAGCAACCGACAGAGTGAACCTTAGGCTGTGGCTTCTGCTTCCGACGCTGAAGCCGGGACAGGTCGGTCCTGCTCCGCCCGCGCCGCGGTCCTCGCCGCCTGCCGGGCATCCCAGGCCCAGGCTCCGTGGGCCTTGCCCTTGGACGCGCCTGCGATGGGCCGGGACCGGTTACCGGTTCCGAAAGGGCTGGTGTCCCCGCAGGGCGCCACGGGCCGCAGCTGCGTGTGGCCGCCTGCCTGTCCTCAGAGTTCGGGTTTTTAACAACAGCCCGGAAAGGCGCTGGAAGCGACGGTGTCAGGAGACGCGATCCCTAGAAAGGGGCTGCGTTGCATCATCTTCCCGCAGAGCGAGCCGCGGGGACGTGCAGGGACCGAGCCCCGGGGCCGCCCGCTGCTCACGTCCGCACGCGGACAGCCTGGCCGACAGCGCCCCCTCGTGGCCGGCAGCGGCCCTTCCCGGCTGCGGAGGGTGCGGCCCCGCCGGGATCCACCGCCCAGGGACGGGGGTGGGGGTGGGGGTGCGGGGGGGGGGGGGTGTGGGGTTTTATTTCTTTATGAAGAGCTCTATTCTTTGCTTATTTGGCTCCAGGGCGGTTTAAAAAGCGATCAACACATTCGGAGCAGCTGATGCTGCGTGGCGTGTGCAGAGGGGGGTGGGGTGGGGTGGGGTGGGGTGGGGTGGGGGGCGGGCCGGGACCTGGCGGAGGGAGTGGCGGAGGGAGGGAGGCTGGGAGCTGAAAGCCGGTGTGTGGGGGAAGCAACCAATGGATGTGTCTCCGTCTCTCCCCTCCCTTCCACTCTCTCTAAAAATCAATGGGAAAATATCCTCAGGTGAGGGTTAGCAACATCAACAAAAAGTGCCAGTCGATACCTAGGGATTAATTTCGCTCCTGAAGACTCTTGTGCCACAAGAGAACAGACATGTCCGATTCTCTTTTTTTGCAGGAAAGTTGGACAGGACAGGGGCTCAGGGAAGGGGAGCAGGTCGGAGGGGCCCTGGGGTGAGAGCCAGGCGCTGCCCAGCGAGGCAGCCTGGCGGTGACACCCCCCCAACCCCAGCCCTTCCCCACCCCACCCCCAGCCCTTCCCCGGGCCTCCTGGGCAGAGAGGCCGTGAGCAAGGCTAACTCGAAGCGCAGTTTGCCTGCTAGGCCCCTGCAGGTGAAGCCTGGACGTAGGCGGTCCTAATGGGACAGGTAAAGGGTCTAGAAAATAAACCGTTTGTTTTTTTCTGTTTCTACCCCCTTTCGACAATAGGCAGACAACTAATTTCATGACCAAATACAAAACGAGGAAAGAAAATGGGTCTGTCACGCCTCAGAGTCATTCCCAGGACCCTGGACCCCCATCGAGGCAAGTCCAGTCCCCTCCGGCCTTTGTCTCCTGTTTGACCGGAATCTGCTCCTTCTCCGCGGGGTGGAGGGATTGACACAGGCCCACCCGGTCCTGGCAGTCCCCAGGGCTCTGTCTAAACGTCCACCATTTCTCGTTCGGAAGCAGGACTCTGGAAATTTCGCCCGTCTTTGCTTGTAGGCGTGTTTGATCGCATGATCACCTTACGCATTTTTCCCACCCAAGAGCGGACACCCAAAGGGACCTTGGGAAACAGGACAGTTAATTTCACCACTAGGTGGTTGGGGTTGGAGGTTCAGCCTGAGGTTAGCTGCCACCCTATTCGGCCGCCCCTTTTCCTGAAGGGCAAGTCCGAGCAGCGTCCTGGTACGTTTCCGGGTGGCGGCCCGCCCCTGGGAGAGAGAGTGCAGGAGGCAGCGCTTGCTGCCTGTGGCTGGCCTGGCAGGTGGGCCGGAAGCGGAAGCGAGGCCCGCCGGAAGCGAGGCCCGCCGGAAGCGAGGCCCGCCGGAAGCGAGGCCCGCCGGAAGCGAGGCCCGCCGGAAGCGAGGCCCGCCGGAAGCGAGGCCCGCCGGAAGCGAGGCCCGCCGGAAGGGTTCCGTGTATTTGCGCGTCTGCTGCCTGGGTGTTGCTCTGGCTAACCTGACCCCTCAGAGCAGCGCGGACTTTCTCACGCTCGTAGGTAAATGAAAAGGCCGGGACACAGGGGAGATGCTGGTGCTTTTTTATGGGCGGGAGCCAGGCCCGGCTGGTGGGAGGGCGCGAAGGCGGCGCCGGGGAGCAGCCGGAGACCCAGCGGTTGGAGAGCTTCACCTTCTAAATCCTAAGCACACCGTGGGCTTTTTTATGATTTTGTCCTAAAACAAAGAAACAAACAGCGCGTCATATAAGAGTGCGTGAACCTGGACGGTAGACCAAGATGATGAGACAGAGATTTCATTGTCAGCTCGGAGGTTCCCTGGCCGTGGGAGGAGGTGGGCCCCTAAGGGCTTTGATGATTTCCCGGAGGCTAAGCGTGCAAAACATGCAGCGGAGGGACTTGGGGAACCCACCACCCAGCAGGGAAGCGCGTACCATGGCCCTCCTGATGCTGTCCCTGTCCTGCTGGGGGAGGGTGTCCACCAGCCCCTTCATCTTCATCGCCGCGTCTCTCATGTCTGCATCAGGGCTGAAAAGTTCCACCGAGACCTCGTGACTGGACAGCAGGCTCACGAAGAAGGTTTTCACGATGAAGTCCAAGCAGCTCTCTGCGGAATCACCCACACTTTCCCAAGAGGGCAGCCCCCTGGCTGGGTCTGCCTGCGAGGCAAAGGCCGGGCCTGTCAGCAAGAGAGAGCAGCCTTTTCATCAGTGGCCTGGCCGTGGGCATTGGTGGTGCTCCAAGCAGCTGGCTCTTGGGTGCTGTGGGCATACTTTCTGGGTGGCAGCCGGCTTTCTGCGGCTCGCCTGGGCCTTCCTTGCACTTCCTGGGGCGGGGTGGGGGCAAAATGCCGCTTGCTCTTTCTGCTGGGTCTCTAGACAGAGTACTGATCTTAGGAGCTGCTGGCCTGATTTTCGATGCAGTGTGGGGGCTGGGAAGAGACCATTGCGGGTTTCTGGTAACATGTTTCTAGCAGAGACACGTCTCTTGTCAATGGTTAGAGACAGTCTCAGCCACTTGTCCCTGGCCCAGCAGGGGTGGCCCCCTGAGCGCTGGGCCCTGGGGGACGCTCACCCACAGACGGACACGCTTCTTGTGTCTATGCCTCGCCCGCCGTGTCCCCTTCACCCCGAGTGCTCCCAGGCTGTGCTCCCTTTTCAGGTCCCTGCCCCCAGGAACATGGGAGTCACCATTTCCTGTTCCCTGCAGGCCCATCTCCCACAGAATCTCAGATCCTCGTCCTTGAAGTCTCTCTGCCTGGACTCCAGGGCCTTACCCAAAGTGGCCAGTTCAAACCAAACTTCTCCGGAACTTGGATCCCTGTTTTGCAACTGACTGTGTCATCAGGCAAGTTACCGTATCATTCGGTAGCTCAGTTTTCTCAACTGTGAAATGGGCACAACATCCCTACCCCATAAGGTTGTTGTAAGGATGAAGAGATAATATGTGAAGGGGTAGAGCAGTGATGGGCACCCCTTCAGTGCTAAGTAAAGGTTGGATATTGTTGCTGTCATTGTTAGATGTGCACACACAGACATGCAAACGCACCCCAGCCCCAGCCCTCAACAGTCGTATTTCAGTCCTATCTGGCTGAGCGCCCCCTCCATCCACAGCACTGAGACCTCCTCACTAGTGTACACACTAGTCCTAGATGTGATGTCTCCTTAAGAACAAACACTTACACTGTAGCTGTCCCACTGCCTCTGGTTTTGGTTTCTAACTCCCCTGCCCTCCTCCAGGGTCATAAAAGTTATTGCCGTGGATATTGTGAAACTCGCAAAGTGAATTCACTGGACCGTGTTCATAAATGTGTGTGTGTGTGTGTACTGAAAGGAGTAGGAAGGCAGATACAGAGTAAAAAGCAGGTAACAAATTCCCAATAGAGATGAAGGGGCTTGGAGGGAGATGTGACCACCTTTCTCCCTTTCTCCTCTCTCTCTCTCTCTCTCTCTCTCTCTCTCTCTCTCTCTCTCTCTCTCTCCTTTACTATCAGTATCATCTGCAACTACGCAGAGACTCCTAACCCTCTCTTCAGAGGACGAAAATGTTTAGAAAACGCCTCTCTGGGTTGCTAGTTTCTTAAAGGGAAGACCCCTTTCTAGAATACTCCTTTCTGCCCAGAATGGAGATCTTGCTTTGGCTTGGGTTTCTTTTGGAGACATGAGGCTCTGCAGCTCCTTCCAGCCGCCTTGGCTGCCAGAATTGGGTGGAGACCCCGAACCTGGAGGCTGCCCCAAGGCCTCTTGGGGTCTGTCCAAGACTGGGCTTTGGGGAACGCGTTATCCCTCTCCCATGGAATTCTGAGGGCGTTGGAGGTGGAAGATGAGATACTTTTCGGGTTTCCTCATAGCCTCAGGGCTCTTCCCAAGTTCCCAAGACGGGCCGGTCGCCAGACCCCGCTCCCTGGCTGGGCGGCAGCATCCCCAGCCCTCCCAGCAGCCCAGCAGTGGGCAGACAGATGCCCCTGTCCCGGGCAGCACTGGGCGGCAGGGAGAGTTCCCTTGTCCGGCTTGGGGACAGGGCTCTGGGCACTCACCAGGGCGGCAACAGAGAGCCAGGGTGGCCAGGGCGAGGGTGACGGCCAGCTTCATGGCGGCGGAGGCTGGAGGGCGGCTCGGTCGTCGCTGCTCCGTGATCTCATGTGAGAGGTGACCGTCCGGCAGGTGCCCTCTTATGTCCTCCTCCGCAGGGGGGGCAGGGCTTGGGCTCCACTCAGGGACCACGCTGTTTGTCTGGGCAGCGACTCGGTGGAAAAAGTAAACATTCTCTTTTCTCAGCACGGTTTCTGTCCCCATTGAAGTAGCTCACACATGAGTCACTTGGTTGGGGGGGGGGCGGGGTGGTGGTGGGGAGCCCTGTGTCCCAGGTGGGGCAGCAAGGGGACCCGAGTCACAGGGGGTGGGGGTCTGGCCGCCTGTGCCTCTCCTTGAACCTGAGCACAGGGCAGTCCGGCCAGCAGAAGCAATGGTAGGGCCCCGGACCCATCACCCCAAGGGACACTGAGGCTCAGAGCCGTCACAGGTGGCAGTGGGGGAACTGGGCCTGGGGACTCCTGCTCCTCCGAGGACGGCGCTGGACCTCCAGCCCTGAGGGCCGCCGTGCCAGGCAGCGTGCCGGGCAGCGTGGTGGGCAGGCTCAGGGAGGGTACCGGCTGCAGCGCCCCCCGCTCCCCTGGGCCTTTCCCACCGACACCGCTGGAGGCCGGCCCTCCTGGTGGCCGGATCCAGGGCACCTTCGGGCCTTATCTCGCTTGACCTCTTCGTGGCCTTGACCCTCTTGACATTTCCTTCATGAACTGTTTTCTCTGCTGTGTTCCCACGCCTGGGTCCTTCCTGCTTTCCTTCCTGCGCTTTCGTCGGTGGTTCTGCACGGACACGCCGCGCCGCCTGCCCTGGTGCCAGGCTTGGGCCGTGGCCCCTTCTCTCCCATCTCCGAGTCCCGGGGCTGCTCCTTCCCTCTCCCATGCCCAGCCCAGAGCACCCGCCAGCCTGGTCCGTCACCTCTTTTTTTTTTTTTGAATATATTTTATTGATTTTTCACAGAGAGGAAGGGAGAGAGATAGAGAGTTAGAAACGTCGATGAGAGAGGAACATCGATCAGCTGCCTCCTGCACATCCCCCACTGGGGGATGTGCCCGCAACCCAGGTACATGCCCTTGACCGGAATCGAACCTGAGACCCTTCAGTCCTCAAGCCGACGCTCTATCCACTGAGCCAAACCGGTTTCGGCTGGTCCGTCACCTCTTAATCAGCCTGCCCACCTCCGCGCTTGCCTCCTCAGCCATCACCAGAGAGATCTTTCTACAGCCCACTTTTCTAAAAAACATACATTTTTATTGATTTCCGAGAGGAAGGGAGAGAGATGGAAACATCCGTGATGAGAGAGAACCATTGATCAGCCGCCTCCTGCACGACCCCTCCTGGGGATGGAGCCCGCAACCCGGGCGCGTGCCCTTGACCGGAATCGAACTGTGACCTGGTTCATAAGTCCACGCTCAACCCCTGAGCCACGCCAGCTGGGCTCGTCATTGATGTTTCTATCTCTCTCTTCCTCTCTGGAATTAATAAAAATATATTTAAAAACAAACAAACACGAAACAGGCAGCACAGAGTGAGCAGCGGAAGGCGAGCAGGAAGGAGATGCGGTTGCTTGTGGTGCTGAACGCCTCGAGGGGGCGGGTCTGGCGGCTGCAGGACACAGTGCGAGGGACAGGGAGGGAGGAGGCGGCCCTGAGCGCTCCGGGCCCTTTGAATTCGGGCTGTAAAACTGCACTATGGATTCCAAGGAAAACTTCAAAAGAGAGAGGCGCCTGACTCCTGCGAGAGCGTGGACGAGCCCGAGGGCTCTATGGGAAGTGGAGTCAGCACGGCCAAGACAGCTGTGTGCGTGCGAACCCCGTCCAAGAGGGGGTGTGAGGCTGGGGATTTGTCCAGTTCCAGGTGGGACCCCGACAGCCCCCAGCAGCTGCCCCAGGACGTGCTCTCCCATCCCGGCCCTTGGGAGGCCTCCTTGGTGGTGGTGGTGGTGGGGGCTTTGTCTCCCTGCCCAGAGCTGCAGGGAGACTTGCTTTGTGGGGCAGTGAGGCCTAACAGTTAGCCAAGGCTTAGGGCACTCAGCTTAGGCCTTAACACCTGCTCCTCAAATCCTCACCCCCCACATGTGAGCGCCAGGCGGGACCCCTCAGGCCGGCCTTCGCACGTGGCAAGGATGGGGAGCCATGGCTCTGGCTGCGTGTGGGCGGTGGCCTGGTCACGGTGCAAGGACAACCCAACTGGTCTGGGGGAAGGGAGCCACTGTGGGCTGGCACCTCCCCCCAGCGGCGCCCCGTTGGCTGGGTCTGGGTCTGGGTGGGCCCTGCCTGGGTTTGGGCTGTAAGACCTGCCGGCCCCCCCAGGCCTTTGGTGTATGTGCACCAGAGGGCAGGTGGGTGGTCCACGCTCTCGGTGCCCTGGAGCCTGCCGGGGCCCACAGAGCCTGGGGGCAGCGGGGGCAGCAGCCCCACCTTCGCCGCCAGCGGTGTTACTCGGGCAGACGCCCCCTGGCGCAGGGCTTGTCTGTCCTCAGGAGCAGGAAGCGGGGGTGCAGCCTGTGCGGGCGCCAGGCTGCGGCAAGTCCCGGCATGGCCCGGAAAACAGGTCGGACGCCGTGGGTGGGCCATGCTGATCCTACCCATCCGGCTGGGCAGCTGGGGACGGGCCGGCCACAGGCTCCTAGGTCAGCTCAGGGGGCAAACGGGGCGCCTCCTCCCTCCGCCTTGGGCCCGGCTCCGTACAGCTCAGGAAGCAGCCGTGAGCAGAGCCTTGTTCTCCCCGAGCCTGACCCCGGCCTTGACCCAGGCCTCCCAGAGGCCCCGCGACTGCTGATGGCCCAGCATCTTGTCTCCGGCCGAGATGCCTAATGGCTTCTGGAGGGCCTGCACGTTCGTCCTGTCCCTGTCGGCTCCAAAATGTAAACAGAAAACCTCAAAGTTGCAATGAATGAAAATTCGTCCAAGTAACATTATTTCAGCCAGCTCACTGCGGCTCAGCTCAACTGTGCTGGGGTGTGTCCTCTAGAGACGCCATGAAGTTTAGATCATGGGAGCCCAGTGTGCAATCTCTTCCTAGTGTCAGAGTTATTAAATTGACACGAGCCTCTTCCAAAGTGTATAGCCCAGCTGATACTTAGGTGTGAGCGTGTGTGTTTTGACGTGTTTGCGATGACGGGGTGGAAACATCAAAACGCAGGGGGCCTCACCCCGTCCCCCGCGTGCAGCTGTGGCCTCAGGCCGGAGGGGCGAGGGAGGTGCCTGCTTCTCTCCAGTCCATCCGCTGGTCTATAGAGGCCCTTAGCGGGCGCCTCCCGGACACAGCGGGTCAGAGAAGGTGGGCAGGTGAGTGCAACTACCGGCCCGCAGCCCACGGTGGCATCGGTCCTGTCCACACAGCTCTTGCTTCTCCCGCTCCCTGTCGCGCCTCGGACAGCCTGCCCACTCTGACACTTAGAAACACACTTGCTCTTTTCCACGTTCCAGGCTGTCCCTTTACGGAGGCAACATAATTTCGGTCACCTGTCCCTGACCCGGGGCGCCCGCCTGTGTCCTTCTAGTTTTCTGCCGAGACAAACCACACCCGGACCTACGCGCCTGCTCTGCCCTGGGGGTTCCTTCCGTGGGAGGTGGGTTTAGACATGCTGCCTCTCTCATCGCTATGACTTTCCCAAGCCGAAGCCCATCTGTTCCCATGGCAACCATCACCACCCCATCCTAGGAACACGTGACCTGGCTCTGGCTGTTTCCGGGGTTTCAGGGAGGGTCGGGGTGCGCCTTGTCAACCTGTGGAGGATCTGAGCACTTTCTTGGCTCCCCAGACGGGCTGATGGATGAGCTAAAACTGGGGGCAGAAGGGTGGAGTGGGGCTGGGAGCGAGGAGCGCCCTCCTGAAGCCCGGCCCCGCGGAACCAGCTGGGCTGAGCTCCCTCCCAGGGGCGGGACAGCGACGGGGGAGGCCCTGCCCTGCAGGCGGGCAAGCAGCCTGGCACTGGGGTCTGGCAGGAGGCCTGGGGTTGACCTCACATGACAGGACTCACTCCCTGCCCTTTTCCAGGAAGCTGGCTCCGCGTGCTGCCCGTCTCTGCAGGATCTCCGTGCTGCGGGAGTCACCCGGTCCTGCCCTGTGCCTGCCTCTCCACGCCCCGCCCCGTTCCCCCCATGGACTGGCAGGTCACTGCTGAGGTCCCCCTGCCCCGGCGCCTCAGGGGGCTGTACACCTTGCTCTGGGCTGTGATGGGGATGCGAGCCGACGTGGTCAGCGGACGTGGCTCAGGGCCCAGCTCTGCCGCTGGCCAGCGAGCGGCTCTGCAGGGCTGCAGTTGTCCTATGCAGGGTGGGGTGGGGGTGGGGGTTGGGAGGGGGGAGCAGGCAACCTGGGCTCCTTCTGACTCTTAGTCTGAGGCCCAAAGGAGCCTGGGAAGCCCCTGGCCCTTGGTCCCCACCCATGGGCTACACCATCCCCTGTGGGCACCCCGTCTCAGTCTGCTCCCCGATTCTTCACACCCACCTGGGGACTCTGCCGCCTCACCGAGGCCTGAAGAGGAAGGACCATTACAACATTTGTCTATTTATTTTAGAAAGAGAGAATGGGGGCGGGGGGGGGCGGGGGGGGGGGGAGAGAGAGAGAGAGGGAGAGAGGGAGGCTGATTTGCTGTATGTGCCCGACCGGGGATCCAGCCTGAACCTGGGTGTGGTGGGATGATAGCTAACCAGCTGAGCCAGGGCCCAGAGGCCTTTTTTAGCACCTCCCTCTCCACAAACGGAAATGATCTTGGTAATAACTGAGAAGTGAAATGAAGAATAAAGGCCAGAACGGAAATGCAGACAGTGATCAATTTTCATGTATTTATTCAAGGTCATTTCCCTTCATTGACCTTACTATATCTACATTCCCTTTGCTATATCTACACATGCAGATATAGCAAATCATGCCAATACAACACCTAACATTGGAGCACACAACATGTTCACACATTAACACACAACTGTTTATTCCGTAGCTTGTATCTTTACCTAATGAATTTTGACTCCTTGGTGATATTTTATGTTAACATTGTATGGGAGTGATTATCCAATGAAAACTCACCTATAAGTGATCTTTTTTTTTTTTTTAATATATTTTATTGATTTTTTACAGAGAGGAAGGGAGAGAGATAGAGAGTTAGAAACATCGATGAGAGAGAATCATCGATCAGCTGCCTCCTGCACATCTCCTACTGGGGATGTGCCCGCAA